TTAGTCTCAAAATGTTGACTGCCATTAGTTGCTATAGTTATTCTCTAGTTTCTACAAAGAGTTCATATGATTGCAAATACTTAACAGTATACTAAAAGCAAAACAAAGTAATGATATAATTTATAGAAAATTGCTCAACATGACTTTAATGAGGAAACACTAGCTAACATTTACTGAGCGTGTAGAATGTACCAAGACAGTTAAGTATATGAAGCAGAACCTACTATTTTACACAAAAGGAAACAGAAAAGAAATATTAAATGACTTGCCAAAAATCACACATCAGGTAGGAGTGCCAGAATTCCAACCCAGGGCTAGTGTGCAGATAGCTGTCTATCCTAAAAGCCCATGCTTTCAATCACATCCTCTCTCATATAACCACTTTTAGTAGGTTGTCACCACAGAATCCTCAAAAAAGAACAAATTACCTGTTCTACTTGGTCCAAGCGTTTCCTCAAATTTTCATTGAGATAAGTTTCTACTCGAGTAATAATACCTTCTAATTTAATTCTTTCATTTAGTAATTGTCTGTTTTCCTAAAATTAAGAAAGAAAAATTAGTTTTCTACCTAAGCAGTAATATTTCAGACATTTTTATTATCTGCACCATTGTGTTGAAATGAGCTCAAACAGAGTTCTATATTTTAAACCTTTGAAATTCTATATTTTAAAAATTTTCTCTTTCTCATCTGTTCAACAGAATGCTTAATTTGGTGCCTGGTTTTTAAAAGACATGGTGCTGAGAAATTTTATTTTCTTGCTTTTTATTTTTTTGTCTCAGTGTTATTTACAATTATGCATAAAACATCAAATGTTATTCAAGACAATATTATTGAATATATAAAGTTGGTCCGATCAGTGTTTATATTTGATTTAAGTAGCTCAATGGTACTAATGATAAATGTGCATTAAATAACAAAGTGAAGATTTCTTATATAATCCTAACATACCCAAAATGGCTTAGAAACACCTAATTAAAACCTTACTTACTCCTATGAGTATTAAGGCCCAAATCTCATTTTTGTATTTTCTCAATATTCTTTTCTTTCATACTCCAATGGTTCATTATCATTATAATGATAGCAGTAACCATTGTACATATACATATGTGCACATAAAATAATTTGGCCAATTTCATTCTCCAGTAATTCCCCTTCATATTCTTTTATTTGGCAAGAAAGGCAATTTTCATAACAGCTAATTATCAGCTAATTTTTTTCCCCCATCAGGTGTACTTGCCTGCTGAAGTTGACGAATTTCATCATTCAGTGCATCTACCCTTTTCTGATCTTCCAGACTAAGTTGAGAAAGCAAATCAGTTCCTAGTTCCGCTTTCAGTGATTCTCTGGTGGACTCCATAGCATGCAAACTTGCTTCCAAACTTTGTAAGCTACGTTGCTACATGACAAATTATCCATTTCTTAATAAAGGTATTAACCATTATTACTAATAACGAAAAACTAGAAAAAATCTACATGACATTAAAGCCAACTAAAATAATCACAACCCAATTAAATATTATAATGTGTTGCTAAGTTATAATGTTCTGTAGGTTAGGTGTATTAAATGCATTTTTCCTTGGGATATTTTCAACTTCTGATAGGTTTATCAAGACACAATCCCATCATAAACCAAGGAGCAACTGTACTTTTTCTTTTTTGTATTATTTTTTCCCTTTCTTTTTCCTTTCAATGGTATTGAGTAAATGAACTCAGGGTCACAAGCATGCCAGGCAAGCATTCCACTACTGAACTACATACCCAAACCCCTGCACTAATTAAATCTAATATTTAGAAAAGAAAAGAAAAACATTTACTCTGTGAGGTAGGGACAAACCATATTTTATGGTTAAACTATTCAAAACTTTTCAGAAGTATCCATAGGAACAAAAAGAATGTTTTGGAAGAGTGTAACTGTGAGCATTTCTTTCTTTTTTTTTTTT